AGAGTGAGAATATAGCTGTATATAATATTTGAAAGACGTTTTTATGTGAAAATGGACTTGTTATTCTGCGTGCCTTTACTCAGTGAATGGAAGTTAGAAGTACGTATAGACTCCATCACTTTACAAAAGTAGTGTTGAGTGATTTTGTAATGAATGAGTTATTGATGGAAAGGAAGATTATGATTAAAAATATTCAATGGAGAATTTTTGAGGCATGTAACGCAGTTGACTTCTTTGCCTCCTATTGAAATCGACAGGCCGTGTGCAGTTAAAACCTCACGCAAATTTCCAAATGTTTACTTGAGCCCATCAGTGAGGTCTATGAAGGACCATTCATGAAGGATGATGTTGCAGCTGTGATTGGCAGGATACCCTGTGTTATAGTTTCTGTTATGCAGCATTGACATCTGAAATCAATGTTATAAGAACCTGCTTGTCACCAACCCAGGCAAGCTTACAACTGTGAGCAGTTATTGTAAAATATAGTTTGGATTCTATCTTGGCAGCCATGCATGAGCAACTAAGCATGTATTTACTGCAGTGTACCAAAATGAATTCCAAATTGGAATTATTATAGAATTTTAAAAAATGTATACTAAATTATTTTTTAACTATAGAGGTTCAGTGCACAATGAGAAATCTCAAGATTTTTCTTTTATCAAGAAATGTCAGTTAAATTTATAATGTAATTTAATTAAGTTTCCTATTGGATGGTTAAATAAGAATTATGTAATTTTCTATTTAAGAAAGCTAATATGTGTCAACCTCACCCTTATTTAGGAGATTTGGGTTTTTGCCCCCAAGTTTCCCAAATATCAGATAGGTAAGAAAATAAGATAAATTTGTCTTTTCTAACCCCAAAATGTATGCATCAAAGTGAGTGATATTCTTCAAAATAGTCATTTCTACCATGGTAAGCTATCCTTGTAATTGACTTAAAAATTACATAAGAAAATGAGTCACATTATTTACTTTGCTTCTTATTTTTGAGCAAAAATAAGATTACCCAGTGTACTCTTCCATCGTATTCTAAGACTTAAAAGTTATTGATTCATAGCTGCTTCCAAAAATCAAATTTATCTTCAGAGAATCAAGATTTGCTACTTGGAAGATAATAAGGCAATGCCCAAGCTAGAAGGCAAGTCCATAAGGAAGATCTTTATAAGAGTTTGCATATAGTTACACAGGCCACTGCTTCAAAGGATAACCTCCTTTGAAGGTAACAGATTTTTGCTAAAAGTAATGAGCCTTGTCACCTTATAGGCACATGGTGTTCACCATACCTAATTGAAGGGTTTCCATTCTGCCTGGGCTAACTCATTGCATCCTTTGAGTGACTGGGTGTGTATCTCCATGCTTTCTGCCAGTATCCTAGTTGGAAGTGGTAGGTGCAGGGAAAATGAAAGCAATTAGAAATAGCCAAAGAGGTTAACTGCCCCAACCCACCTCTCACCAGTCCTGAAGGGTGTGTAGAAGAATAGCATAGAGTGACAGGTTGTAGTTGACTCATAAAGTCTGTCAGAAAGATAGCGGGAGCTGTTGGAAGGAGCACTAACCAAGACTCAGAAGCAGGGATGAGATTGGATGAAGCGAGCAAAGAATCCGTGGTGCAAATTAGAAGGAGGCAGTTGCTAACCCTGAACTCACATGACCATGAGAGTAAGCGGCCTTCTTAAATTTTGTGCCCTGTCTCACCTGCCTCACCCTACTCCTGGCGCTGGTCACTGGGGCCAACTTCTAATTCAGTTCACTTTTGCCACAGACTTGCTGAGCAATTTGGGACAAATTAGAGCTAATCTCATGCCGCTCCACATTTCCTAAAAGTAAAATGGAGGTAATCCCTGAAACACTCATTCTATAGGTTGCTAGAAGGATCCATCAGATGTGACAATGCCTTGTAAGCCATAACCATTTACATTATTATTGTGTTTTTTTTTCTTTTTTCTACCATATCAAAAATTTTAAAGCATCTTCTCCTGGGTTAGTTCTTATTTTTCAAATAACTGGGCATAACTGGACTATGGGGAAGTTTTTTTTAAAGTATAGATATCTAGGGCTTGCCTCAGTCTAATTAAATCAGAATCTCTTAGTGTAGGGCTCAGGAATCAGTATATTTTATGATACTTCCTTATTAGTTATACTTATTTTTACTTTTTTCTCATTTATTTGACATATAACAATTTATTTAATTGGCATATAATAATTGCTCATATTTTTGGGACACATAGATACTTCTTTATTAACTTATTTCTTCGTTGTTGCCTTACAGTATATAACATACATCTTTGATGTATTAGGTTTAACTTGAAATAATGTATATTACTTCATGTATTATTTAAGAACCGTGCAGCAGTACACTTTCATTTCCCACCTCCTTTCCTTTGCACTATTACTGTCATACATTTTTCTTTTACATATATTATAAACACCACAATATATTAGTTATGTTTTTTTGCTCTGAATAATCAGTTACCTTTTCAAGCAACTAAAGTAGGAAAACAAAATCTTTTATATTTTACATTGACTTTTATCATTTCTGGTACTCATTTTTCTGTGTAGCTCCACTTCATATTAAAATTCTTATGCTGGCAATCAATTTCCTCAGCCTTTGTTTGTCTGAAAAAAAAAACTATTTCACCTTCACTTTTGTAAGATATTTTCACTGGGTGTGGAATTCTGAGTTGGCAGATTTCTTTTAACTTTTATTTTTTAGTTCTATAAATATATCATCCAATGTGTTCTGGCTTGTGTGGTTTCTGAAGATTAGCAACCTGTAATTCTTACCTTTTTATTTTATGTTTTTCTTTTTTTCTTGATGTTAAGCAGTTTGACTATGAGGTATTTAGATGTGTATTGTTTGGTATTTTTCCTTTTTGGGATTCTCTGAGTTTCTTGGATCTATACTTGGATGTCTTCATTATTTAAAAAAATTTTCCGTCATTATCTCTTTAAATATTGCTTCTTATTCTCTCATCTCTTTTTGAGACTTCAATTATATTATGTTAGACCATTTTATATTGCACTGTAGGTCTTATATGCTCAATTCTCTCTCTTTTTTTCTTCAATTCTTTCCTTTTTGTGTTTTAATGGAAATAATTTATTGTGACCTGTCTTCAACTACACTGTTTATTTCCTCAGCTTTTTCAAGTTTAGTGATGGGCCCACCGAATCAATTTTTCCTCTCTGATAGCACTTTTAAAATTTCTAGTGTTTCAATTTGATTTCTATTTGACCATTAAAGTTTCTATATCTCTTCTGAAATTCCCCATCTGATTATCATTGTTGTTGACTTTTTCAAACTAGATACTTGAACATATTAGTTATACTCATTTTAAAATTCCTGTTTGTTACTTCCAACATCTGGGTCATGTCTGAGTCTGTCTCTGTTGTTTGCTTTATCTTTTCTCATGGGTTTTTTTGTTTGTTTGTTTTTGTGTATTTTGTAATTTTTGATTGAATGCCAGACATCATGTATAGGATAGTGAGTACTGAAATCATATTTATGTCTGAAAATTGGCCAGCCTTTTTATCAGGCTGTTAATATGATAGCTGGAATCAATTAATCAGGACCCGAGCTGGATTGGGGCTTTATTTTTGCTATTGTTACTGCAGTGCACTACAGCTTTCAAATTCCTCCAGAATTAGACTGCTAATGCCTTGTACTTATATTTTAACGTCTGTAATATTTTCAAATTCTTAGGTTGAAGCCTGATTTTGGGGGCCTTAGGTGCTAGAGGGTTTTTCTCAGTGTGGCTGCTGCTTATTAGATTTTAGTTGTCTTTGTATGCCTATATTGCCAAAGGGGTCTCTCTCCTTGCACTGTCCTCCTCCAGTGGTAGGCCACTATTGCTTGTTTTTTAGTGTTATAGCTTCTAGTGGAGTTAGGGCTTTTGGGTTTTTGTTTTGTTTTGTTTTATTTGTTTGTTTTAAATCCTTTCCCGGCCTTGTTTTAGGCAAAGTCAGCCTCATAACTGTGGTTGGATTTGAGCAAGTTTCCTTCCCTGCCCAAGTTGGAACAGTCCACTCCTTCCTAGGCCCAAGGAGTCAGGTCTTGGGCCTAGGAAGCTTTTATGCCCCTTGAGACTTTTTCTTTTACCCTTTTGCCTACAACAATTATTTTTGCCTAAAATCTAGAGGTCAGAAGGCTCTCCATCTCTACCGGAGCCACATTGGTTTTGCTTTGACTGCTTCCCCAGAAGCAGTAGATCTTTGCTTGCACCTGTGGGTAGAAGGGTTTGGTGCCCCCTCCTCAAGCAGCTTAAAGCTTTTTGTTGCTGTTGTTAAGAGGAAATGTTCCATAGAAATGAGCAGGGCTTTATGCCTATCCCCTAGCAGCCATATGTCACCTCATTTGCATCCACACTTCAAGGGAATGTCTTGTTCTCAGACTTTGTCATGGCTTCCAATGTTGACCCATGGGAAAGGGCTTGCCCATTAGCACAATCTGTGCCTTTGGCCCTGTGTCTTTGGCCACCAGCTATTCCAAATGACACATTAGTCTAAGGGATTCTAATGAACAAAGTATTGAGAATCACTTGTAGGAAAAGAGATTTCTTAGGAAGTAAATCTGTTTTTATAGAACTGCTGTTGGTGTGAGTGTTATTAGAATTATAAAACCAAATCTAACATAGTTTTCCACTATCTTCAGAATACAACATTTAAAGATTTAGACTAGAGAATAATGAGTATAGTTTTGCCTTCTCTCCCTGACCAATTCTGGGTTTTTTTCTGGTCGTTGACTGCAAACTGCCCTCAGCTGCTCATGATTATCCTAATTATTATCAAAAGGGAAGATATTTATCTAATGGCTTCCACACAAAGGATTGGAGGCATTCATCTGATTTTCAGGGGTCACTTAGCTAGTGAAACTCCAGCTCTTCTTGATCTCCAGTCAAGATCCTCAGCAGCTCTGGACAAGGAAAGCATTTTTGGCACCTGGCTGTCAAAGGGAGACTCTATGTCCGTGCTTCTTTCTTAGTGAGTGCATTTCCTGTTGACAGAATCGCATCGCCAAGCGCAGCAGGAAGCTGGTGGACTATGACAGTGCCCGCCACCATCTGGAAGCTCTGCAGAGCTCCAAGAGGAAGGATGAGAGTCGAATCTCTAAGGTAGGGATTGAGCCTAGGGTGAATAACACTCTCCATATTTTATGACCTGTTGCAGCTTTGCTTTTTAAAATTAAGTGCTTCCTCTGTAAAAGGAGATTGGAAACTGAACAGAATTTAAACTGAAACATAGTGCTTTTTATTATTTTTAATGGAAATAAGGCTTTTCATTATATTGTACAGTTCATATGGGGGACACTGACTCACACATTTTGATCAGAATGAACTTTGACCTGCAATGTTGCGGGATCAAAGAAAGTAGCGTGTCCGCACTTCCTTAGGTAGTTGTGGTCCACCCTCAGTGCTGAAATGCAGATGCAGATAGGACACCAAGCTGAAATTCTCAGAGGTGACTTTTGATTGTCTGAGAGTACAGACGTGTGGATTTGCATAAAACTATTTTTCTGTTAGAAAAGTTTTTATAGTAACTTTCACCATGTATATCAGCAAGTTACAGATGCCGACTAACTGAAGTCATCTCCTAAGTACACCCTCTTCTTCCAGTTTTGCCTTTTCCTATGTGCCTACACACAGCTGTCTGAATGGTCTTTCTACATCAAAATATGTTTCTCACTGCTTAAATATTTTAATGGTTTCTATTACCTCTACGAAAAATGCTAAATTTCTTAGTACAGCATAGAAGACCCCCACAATTTGGCTGTAACTCACCTGTCCATCCTGATCAACTTTCAAGTCTCCTTTCCCCTCCTCGCCTTCTTCCATAAACATACCCCGAGCCAGAGCTACACAACAGTTTCTGAGCAGTTCACAATAATAAATGCCCTTCATGAGAGGCCTCCTAGATACCAGGCATCCTGTTCAACACTTCATCTACATTAACTTTCCTTAATACTCAAAACAACCTGTGAGGTACACAGTAGTAAAGCAGTATGACAAGTTCACATGGTAAGCTAGAATTCCATTTCAAGGCATTCCACCCTTATGTATTGTAATGTCTTTCCTACCCCCTCCCTTAGCAAACATTTTCTGATTCTCTAGGATTCAGCATCACCTTCCACATAGCATGCTCTATAACACATTGTAAGTCCCTTTTGTAAATACATCCTGTAATGTAATTATTTAGAGTTTCCACTAGACTGGGAATTTGCTGGGGATGCATTCATGTTCAGTATCCATAGCAGAGCTGTCTACATGGCAGGCAGCTAACACATTTTTGTAGAATAAATGATTCAGCCAGAAACTGCAAGAGCAACCATTGTAATCGATCCAGTTTCCAGTTTTAGGGATTCTTAGCATTTCCTGTTTAATTGAAAAACAAGGATATGCTTTTAACCAAATACTCTCCTTCTCAAAATGTTTCCAAGATGCCATAAAACTATTCTTATTTTATATTAAATGATGCTGTTGTGTATAGAAATGGTCTTTCTTAGTGTAAACGCATGTTATGTTTCATTCCTAGGCAGAAGAAGAATTTCAGAAAGCACAGAAAGTGTTTGAAGAGTTTAATGTTGACTTACAAGAAGAGTTACCATCATTATGGTCAAGGTAAAAATATTTCTCTACAGGTTGCACATGTTCCTTTTAGAAATTCAAGGTCAGTGAATATCCCTTATCTTGTCTTTGTTTTTACTGTGATACTTCAACACTGTCCAGTGGAAGTGTTCTTTATCTGTACTTTCCAGTATGGTAGCTACTTGTCACTAGTGGATGTTGATCACTTGGAATATGGCTAGGATTAAAAAGGAGGAACTAAATTTTAAACTTAATTTATTTGTTTTAATTTATTTGTATGTAAATAACCACCTGTGGCTAGTAGCTGCTGTATAGGATGACACAATTTTAGACCTCAATCCATTTCTTAAGTGAAGACCTAAATCTCAATTAGAGGCATTAGGAAGACTGTCCCTCATCTTGAAACTTACAATAATGTCCTTTTAGTCCTTTATTCCAAGAGCTCATCTAGTCATCTGGCTTAGATGGTAAGCTTCTACTTTCAGCCCTGACTTTTAAATCTGAACTGTATTCATATTTTGAGCACCAGATACTCTTATTTACACATTACTCTGCATTTCTCGTGGAATTAAGTGCATTTTTAAATAGTTGTTCTGTTTTTCCTACTCAGTGGTAGAACAAAGAAGTTGTTGGATGAAATAGTACCTTATGATCCTCAATCTCTGTCAGTATCCTCATGCTCCTACCCCAAATTAGCCAGAATTGTACTTAAAATAATGCCACGTTATTTTAAATCAGGTCCTCTATTTCTAACTTCCAACTAGATGGGTGTGCCTCGAAAGCCTTCTTATATACAAATTCTAGAGCTTCTATTTACCCGCCAAAATTGTAAGCATTTTGAGGGTCTATACTAGAGTTCGCCCATTTTTGAGTTCATCTCTAGTGTTTTTAATTTTTGCCAATAAAAGGTACTCAGTGTTTCTCGCTGAACTGATGAAATATCTGGATGAAATTTTGGCTGGTTTCTACCTCAATGTCCAGCCATCACCCAAAGTCCAACATGCGAAATTATGTCATTGTTCGTCTGAATTTACTCATTCTCTCTACATCTGCATTTCTTTCTTTTTGTGTGTGTGTGCCATTATTTCTGGGCTCCCAAGCCTCAAAGCTTTGGAATTGTTACCTACAGGAAACGAAAGAGCCATCAAAATAAACAATCCATCATTTTTTGGTGTGGGCTTCTGGATCGCTCTCCCTTTCTCTCGTCCCACTGTCCACACCCTAACCCTCATCATCCTGTTGTGGATTATGATAGTAGTCTTGCCTTTACATTTCCTTCTTTGACCTCTTCCTGTACACCTTTTCTTTCAGAAGCTCCACCTTGACATCTCTGTGGCCTGCTTAGGACCTCACTGTATGTGCCTAAAGAAGACCTCTTCTCTACCCCAGGGAGGATTTAAACAACCTGAATGTATACAACTTTTAGGGATAGAGATAAAACAAATATCTATTTATGATTTGAATTTATTTAGTTATTCGCATTTATTTAAAATCAAAAATTATATGATGCTATGGCTTTTTAAAAAATATAGATATTACTTTTTTGCTCTAACATTTCATGGAATACTTTTATTCAAAGTCTTTACATATATCTTTAGCATCAGTGTTTTTGTCCTCACTTAAGATACTCATCACCTCAACTAGTAGTTCTCCAGAGCTTATCTTCATCTGCAACAGATATTTACTTCCAAACATAAGTTGCCATTTACATACAATTAAGACAGTTATTCTTTTTATTTCTCCTGTAAAGGAATTTTTTATGATTTCTAATGTAATTGCCTGATTGCTTTTTAAACTGATCTTCAAAAAGACTTGGATACCACAGTGTTCAAGGCTTTCAATTATGAGATAATACCGTGGGAAGTTGCCAGTGCCAATTATGAAACTTTGGGGAAATTGCCAGAATTTTCAAGAGACAGATATTTATCATTTGCCTTATTATGGATTGGGTATATAACTAAGATTTTTCTAATGAGTTCTACTACATCCAATACTAGCATTGATGTTATTTCAGTCTTTTGTGCCCTTCCTAAATTGTATTTGGTTATTCAAAGTAAAGTAATTGTTGGAGTGTCTTGTAGCATGAAAGACTTTGTAGGGACTTAAAAACAAAGGGAATATCTGAGGGATAATTTTGGAAAGAAGCCTTTCCCCTTTTCTGGTCATACACAGTATAAATGTTTCAATGCTTTTGAAATCAATCTAATGTCTCACTCTGGCACTTAGGAAATAACATCAGTCAAAACTAGTTTTTCAATCCAGATCCTGCCTTTTGATCAAAACCTGACTTAAGCCTTCCTTTCTATGTAGCATATTTCTTGATGAAATCCAGATTACTCAACCATAATAATTGTGTGCATTGTTTGTGCTGTGTACAAAAGATCATTTTTTTGTAATACTTTGTATTTGCTAGGTGTCATTTTACATACTTTACATACATAACCTCTAATCATTACAATTACAGATCTCTCCATTTCACAGATGAGAAGCTAAAGATCATATTCATTAAATACCTTGCCTAAGATTGTTAAGCTTGTAAATCCTAAAGGTAGCATTTAAAAACACTTTGGTGTTTTGTTTTGTTTTCCTGTAAATCCTGCTGCTTTTATCTAGGGCCTCTTTATCTAAAATGAGATTGCATTCAGTCATAATTTTTCAAGTTATTCCATAAATACATATGTTCTTTAACAAGCCATATTACTCAACCTTGAAATTGAAATTAGTATTTTGTATCTTCTTTGCCTCCTTTGAGGAAATGCATATTACTGGGCATGGAGTAATAAACATATTACCTATTAGTTATTAATGCATGAAACTATTCATAATCCTTCAGAATGTTGAGTGGAATGTTCTATATATGCCTGTTAGGTTCAGGTCGACTATATGTTGTTCAAGTTTTCTATTTCCTTACTATCTTCTGCCTTGTTGAAGTCTCCCACCATTATTGGGCTTATTTCTGTCTTCATTTCTGTCAGCTTTTGCTTAATGTATTTTAGGGTTCTGTTGTTAGGTGTATATATGTTTATAACTGGTATATCTTCTTGATGGATTGACTATTTTATCTTTACAAACTGTCCTTTGTCTCTAATAATGTTGACTATTTTGTCTGATATTGGTATAGCCATTCAAGCTCTCTTTTCATTACTTTTCATGGAATATTCTTTTTTCCATTTTTAAACTTTCTACCTGTCTTGACTCTAAAGCATGTCTCTTGTGGGCAGTATTTAGTTGGATCATTTGTGTGTGCACATGTGTGTGTGTTTTATCCATTCTGCCAGCCTCTGCCTTTTGATTGCTGTGCTCAGTCCATTTGCCTTTATATAATTACCAATAATGTAGGCTTTCTGTCTACTGTTTTGCTAATTGCTTTGTGTGCCTTATATCTTCTTTGTTTCTCTATTCCTCCATTACTGCCAAGTGTAGAAAACTTTCAAAATTTTGGATTTAAACTGATCTCCAGAAATTAGTAGTTCATGAAGGAGAAATGAACTGCTGCTTAGAGGGGGATGCAAGTTCAATTTTAAAAAAAGAAAATACTAGAATATGATTGCAGGTTTTAAAGGAGCTTATAGATTATATAAAGAGAGATGGAAAGAAGGAAGGACTCAAGAGAATTCTTGAGGTAAATCTTGTAAAATAAGTAAAGCCACCATTTAGTGAAAAGGATATGCCAGACTGACATAGAGCATGAATAAAGGCCTGTGTGTTGAAGCAGATATCTGGGTTCATGGAACTTTAATTGGTCTGATGTAACTCAAAGTCAGAGTGATAGTGTTTGGGAGGGGCTTGTGGTGATTGATGAAGCAGGAGAAAGACAGGGATCAGATACATTTATCATTCATTCAACAAATATTTATTGACCACCTACTGTGTGTGAAGAACTCTGTTAAATGCTAAAGATTCTGTACTGAAACTTTTTGTTTGCTTGGAGCTTGTATTGAAGGACAGGGAAAGGCAGTTACCTTTAAAAGAAATGAAAAATTTATCAGGCAATAAGTTCAATGCAGAAACATTTTTTTTTTTAAAAAAAGGATAATTTAGTAGAGAGTGACATGAGATGGGGTAACTCAGACTGTAGTTTGGATGTTTAGGGAAGTCATCTCTCAAAGAGATAGACAATATATAAAGAAAAGGAAATTTTGGCAAGATTGAATCTGGCTTATATATGTTGAGTTGAAGAATCGTTAGGAAATTCAAAAAGTTATGTCTTTAAGCTAAGTCTAAAGCTTGAAGAAAGGTTTGGGAGTCATTACCATATGGGTGGTAATGATGCCATGAGAGTTGATGAAATAGATGGTCAGATAGATCAAATGGCAAGATGAGGATCAAAGCAGAACCTTTGAGAGCACCAATATTTTATGGAATGTGCAAAAGAAGAGGAAACTGTGGAAAAGCCTTCCAAAAATTAATCAGAGATGTAGAAGGAGCCATGACAGAGGGATATCTCAAAAAGGCAAGAATGGAGAGAATTTTAAAAATGAGGAGTGCCAGGACTGTCATTTACAATAGAGGGGTCAAGCAGATGAGGACTAAAAAGGCATCACCTTCGGTAAACGTCCAGAGGGGTTTCAGTAGATGTTGGGATCGGAAGCTTGATTATAGGCATTGGAGACTCCGTTGGAGATGAGAAAGCAGCAACAGGTGATGGTGTCTGTTATTTTGAGGATTCTAACTATGATGGGCCTGAGGAATTGTGGCAGCTGGTATAGGGAAATTAGAGGGCAAGGGAAGCTTTCTAAAAACAACTTTTGTCATTTTGAGAAGATGGCATAGCTGTGGGAGAGGTGGAATAATTTAGGACTGAGGATACGTGGGGCAAACAGGGGATCAGGACAAGGAGGAAGGGTATTGATAGGACTGGCCAGAGAGTGTTGAGGGGTACACCACAGGGCCCAAGCTTGATAAAGCAGGATGTTCAACCTGATCAAGGGTAATGGCCTGGAAGAAAAGCGCATTGATCTCACAGAGGTTTTGAAAAAAGCAGGTGGAATGGAAATGAATGAATGAGGGAGCTCATGGCCCAGGAAAGTAGGTTAGTGGGTGGGCCACTGATCTGCCCCATTTCAGAGGTGAAATAGTTGTGAGTCATGGCAAGATCCAAGATGTCAGAGGCCAATGCAGAATGTGTATAAATAGGATGCTGGGGTCACTAGTTAGAGGGCTCATGTTTTGGCTGGATAGTCATATGGTTGTCAAGATCTACAGTGTTAGTGTTAGGATTTGGTGAGGGAGAGAGGGGAAACCATGAGGCATGCCATTGTGGATTGTGGTTGAGGTTGAGGAGTGTTGCTGAGAGGTTGATATTAGGCTTTGAAGAGGTTGAATATGAGTGCCATTAATCCCAGAATGGAGTGAGCTTAGAGGATCAGAAGAGAGCTAGGAAAAAACTCTTGCTCGTACTCTATCTCCATGGTAAGTGAGGGACAGCAGGGGATGCCTCCTCCACTGCAAGAGGGTCTGGGGGGAAGCACTGACACTCCCCTCCAGGGAGACAGATTTCCTTAGGGCATTGCAGAGGGGAGAGTGCTCAGGCCTGCAAACTGTAGCTGTGATAAGCTCAACTCCTTTATTTCTGAGAACAAAGAAACATCTTAATAAAGAAATTAAGTTGGTTTTGACAGATAATCAGAAGGGTCCTGAGGATGCCACATTTGGGGAAATGGTGATGTCTCAGAGTCCCTTGTTTATAAAGAACTTGCCAAATTAAACTTTTAAGCAGATAGTATCAGAATCAAGAGCCTGGTATTCTGGTACTTTGTGTCTGTATATTCTACTGCTGGTTACATTAGGTTTTTACAAGCTAGGGTCACATCAGAATGTGCTCTTGTAGTAGAATGAGTGCCAAGTTTCTTCATTCACTGGCTTATTCATTTATGGAGTTTATTCATTTATTCATGCCTCCTGTGTACTAGGTGCTGGGGCTGTAATAGTGAACTAGTTAAACGCATTCCCCTCTTTGCAGGATCTCTGACTTCATAAATTGGAGAAAATCACTATCAGTTGTATCAAAAATGTTGGACACTTTATCCTAATTAAATACATGCTAGTTAATTTAATTTCTAAATTAAAAAACAAAATATTAGAAAAGCGTAGATGTTTAGTTATTCTAAATAAGATATTTCTGATACTACACCATTTTCTCAGGATAATAATTGATTTGACAACTTAAGATATGCTGTATATCAGAAAACAAAATTGAAATATAGAAGAATGGGACTTCTTTTTTGTTTTTGCCTAATGCATCCAAAGTTAAATATGTTTAATAGAAGTGCCATTACATATTGATAAGAAAAACAATACTAAGAAATAACAAAAAAAATTGAATAGGTGATTCACAAAAGAAGGAATACAAATGAACAGTAAATAAATGAACAAAAGTGTTAACTTGAATTAAAGAAATAAAAACCTAAAAGTCAGTGAGATGCCAACTTTTGGCTGTTATATTTATAAAGGCCGTATGTAAAGTAATGTTCAATTACCACATATGTAAGGTAATTGGGACTATAAGTGGCCCAGTCTGCTGGGAGCAGTTGAGCAATTTGACAGTGAACATCAGTGCTTATTTGGTTCACTCCTTTTACCAGCAAATACCTTCAAGAAATCTGTCCTAAGGAAATGAATAAGCTGTGTACTAAACCTTAATCATAGATATTCATTAGGGTTTTGTTTACCATAGAAAAAATTAATAAAAATAAAATAATACTCCCCAATGAAGTTCAACTTACACACCTCTTCCATCTGTATCCACCTTCTGTTTAAATTGGACCCTTCTTTCTGCAGCCCAAGTTTATCCTCTTAAGCAGGTGTTTGCAGCTATCACAGGGCCCATTTCTCTCCTCTCCTCTCAGTTTCTCTGTTTCTGCCCATATCCACTCACTTTTGATATTTAATCATGTATGCCTTCTTGTTGTAACTTAACATTCCCATGTGGTTTTATAATCTGCTTGTTTCAAATATATATAAAATCTGCTTTTTTCTCTTACACACACACACACACACACACACACACACACATATATATTTCCATTGTAAATATAAATGGAGCATATATTCATCAAGCAACCCCTCTGGGTGCTTCTCTAACTGGCTTGTACGTTCCTAGAGACATGTTCACCTACCACTATGCATGTACCCAGAGTTGGATAGGTCCTTTGTTGAGTAATTGAAGGAAGAAAAGTGTTAAGAATTACTGTCTGAGTTGATTGGGGCCCTGGAGAAGGAGTCATGAGTTGCCACTCAAAGTGCCCCAGAAGACTTCTGTGCAAACACTGAGAGTGGGGTCCCTCTGCATAATGTACAGGTAGCCTGTAGGGTCTCTCCTTGCCTGTCAAGCTGCTGTCTTAATTAGCTTCCTCAAATACAGGTGCAAGTCTTCTCCTTTGCCCTATCTCAAACACATCTAGGGGTTGCCCACTGCCTGCCAATAAATGTTGTGCTTCATGGTCTGGCAAGGACCTCTGCCCCAGAGAACCATCTGCTTCCTCACTAGGCTCTCCTCTCCCAGGCTCTGATCTGATCCTCCTGGGGGCTTACCATTTCCCAAATACACTGTGGAGGATTTTCTTTATTAATGAATAGATGTCTATATGCATGTGTATTTGTATGCATATGAATATATATATGCTCATGTATTTATAAATAAGTATATGATCTTTTAAAATCAATTAAAAGAAAAATATATGAAATCAGGGTCACATGATCACTGTAAGTATAGAAAATTAAGATTAAGTCAAATATGTTAGGGATGTAAGTAAAGATAAGCCATAGAAGAAGTTAATCTCATTGCTATTATGAATGGGCAGCTTATGTTTTCATTTACTCAGTGACGACATGCTCTAATTTTTGATGAACAATTAGAATTAATTTATGTGTTTTTTATTTCCCTCTATGAAACAAATTTCAGAGTCCAAACACATAATAATAACTAGACCATTTATAGTTTATAAAAATTAATAATGAACTTCTCAAATCTCGAAAGCAAGAAACATTATCTAAAATATAAATAAGTTCTCAGGGCGGTGGTTCCATAAGCATTGTCTCTGAATCAGCAGCATCAGTTGTCATCTAGAAACTCACCAGAAATACAGATTCTCAGTCTCCATGCTCAGACCTACGGGATCAGAAACACACCCTTCAGATGGTTCTCATGCACACTAAGGTTTGAGAATCACTGTCTTAAGGCAGTAACTGAATTTTAGGAGAGGTCATGCTCTATGCCAAAAGATATTTGGTTTCGTTCATTAACAGATGAGGAAATGTTGGGCTTGCTTTGGGTTCAGTATTTTATTTAGTCCAAAGTTATTCAACATGGTGTAAAAGAAACCTGGGTTTTCATACATTTCGTTGCTATTAAAATTATTTTTGCTGACTGGTCTTTCCCTCTCTCTTCTTTCCTCTTTGTATTTCCACATGGCAGACGAGTTGGATTTTATGTTAATACTTTCAAAAACGTCTCCAGCCTTGAAGCCAAGTTTCATAAGGAAATTGCGGTGGTGAGTCATGGTGATTATTTTTGCATGTGGAATCTAAAGTAAAGGAAGGTTTATTTTGGAAGCAAATGAAATGGGATAGAATTATCCAAAGAATTCACTCTTTTGTATGTTTCTTTTAGTAGTGCGTTATTACCCTTGGTAACATTTCTACAGGTTTTCATAGTGATCACATAGTTCTTTGTATCTTTTGAAGATTTTGCCACAGTTTTACAGTGTTGTTTCTTTTACCAGGCAGTTTGTAAAGTTGGAATTCCCAATGGTATTTTAGGCTGATGAAAAATTGGTCTCAGAATATTTAGGTAATCAACAACTCTGTTGTTGATTGATTTTTGTTGTTGTTGTTCAAAAGGGTGGAGTCAATGTAAACAATAAGCTTTTGTTTTCTGCTCTGTCCTCTGATTAATAAATACGTATTTTTTTGTTTACTTGTGTTTCGTTTGTTTCAGTTTTGACATAGATTTTAAATTTGAACCATATACAGAATTTTAGTTATCCTGAGGCTATCCAAACTATAATAAAATTTATGGTTTCTCAATAAGCAATTTCTTTCTTGGGGAGAATAGCCTGAATTGGCACTAGGATGACATGTGACTAATAGACAAGTGGCCTCTGTCCCCTTAGCTTTGCCACAAACTGTATGAAGTAATGACGAAACTGGGTGACCAGCATGCCGACAAGGCCTTCACCATCCAAGGAGCGCCCAGGTAGGCCCCTGCTCGTTGGAGCTCCCATAATGTACTGCTCGTTAAAATTTCTGCAATCTCTGGGCCAGCCTATACTGTTTTATTTATCCTACAAAAGTCTCATGGGAGCCTTTTCACGACACTAATTTTATTTCAGGGCTTTTACATTTACTTCTGGCCTTCAGTGACCCAACTAGGATTCTTCTTCTTGTCATAACAGCATTGACTCTCTGCCTCTCTGCCTCTCTCTGCTTTCCATGAGGCCTGATAGCAACAGTGTGAAATTTTAATAGATTATGTATATGCTTGTTGTAATATATAATTTGTTATGCACTTAATATTTTCTCTGGAGAAGAAAGGAATTCCTAAAGTTTATGACAGTTTGTCCTGATTCTTATCATTGATGCTGACATCTTTTATGAATCCATTTTGGGAAAGGAAAGAGGAAGTAGGTAAGATCTCATCTTCCTCTTACCTCCCAACTCTTGATCTGGTGAACACTGTACTATTTTTGTTTTATTGCACGTTTCATTATGAGTATGCCAGTCAAATACCCCAGAACCCCAGCGATCCGTAGGTGAACTGTCTACCTTGCCGGCATTCAGCTGCACACCAGCTTTCTCCGGTGATTCTGGAAACCTCTTTATTCCGTTCTTCGCAGACTTTATGTACTCAGAGAATGCAGGCTAGTGAGCTGGGAGTCAGAAGACCCAGCTTTCGGTTTCTGATTTTGCAGTTAACTTGCTTTGCCTTCCTTGAGTAAGTTCAAAACCTCTTTGGTTGAAGGTCTCAGTTTTTTAATTCAATAGAGAAAAAAAAGATACTATTGAACTACATGGTTCCCAAGGTAATATACAGTCCTGACATTCTATATTTGTCATTTTAATACAAACACTTATTTTCATACATTTATGAAAACACACATAGTCATACACATGAACCAACTTCTACATATATTAATGTTTGGATCCCTCTAGAGGTTGTTGATGTTCTTATTCCCTGCTCTTTGGATTAGCCCTACTTATACGTTCTGCTATGGTTTCTATACTATGTGAGCTGTAGTATATCTTCTCTTTCTAAGGGAAAGATATTGCCTGAACAAATACATAGGAGAGGCAGAGTTACTGCTTTTAGTATGGTTATTTCAGTATTAGGCACAAAGGAAGGATTGGAATAGGAATATCAGAAGGAAATTTGAGTGTTTTAAAAATGAAGTGCATGAGAAAATTAAGGGTTGGTCCCTTACCTGGAAATGAAAGGGACAAATTCATCTGAAAATTTTAATGTTGCCAAATCAGATACAGTGAAGAAAAAGCGGGGCCATGACCACTTAATGAATGTTCCTTTCATTTTTTTCGACATTCCTCTGCAGAATGAGGTGGTGAGTGAGCTCAGTGGCATCTCTATTAAGCTTAGATTGGGGCTATGTTTCCGTCTGAGGCCATGATTGCTGACATATGACCCCAATCATGCGGCGTGTCTGTGTTCTCGCTAAAGGACCCAGTTCCCTCAGCCCTTAGAATATGTAGACCATGCTGCTGTGTACATGCTCTTTTATTTTGGGGTACAGACTCTGTTTCTTTGAGCTGTAGACTTTAGAAATTCTTAGAGAGTAGGATGTGTCCCAAGTGCTTCTTAGTCATCACATTTGGGCTGTTCCTGAGCATCTGGCCACATGCCGGGAACATGATGGGTTCTTAGTAAACGAAACTGAGTCTTATCTGATTTTGTTGCACATTTCAAGATGCCTGAGTTGAGTAGTTATTTATAAGGTCTAGAAAGAGAAATAATTAGTGAGTTTATTTCCAAATGTTATTAGAAAGCACTTCTACAGAATCCTTACTAACACTATCTTAAGGCTGCCTTTTAATATGTTACAATTTTCAGAGTAGTTTTTTTAATAGATTGTGACATGACAAGATTCTCTTGTAAATAGAAAGTGAAACTAGTAAAATCAATTCAGCTTATGTTTGGACCTGATTCTTGCAGAGCTTGTTTGAAAGAACAGAGGGCTTGCATTGCTAAGACCTGAATTCAGAGTCACTAAATTGCTGGGTGATTTTAGGGTTTTTATTTTTAAACTCTATATGCCCCACTTTACTACTTGTAAAGTGGGGACATTAAAGCGTGGCTACTGTGAAGACAAGAGATAATATATGAATGAGGCCTGTGTAGTGCAAATAAATGGTACCAGTTATCACCATCACTGTTGCGATTAACCAGAATTAACCTGGAAGTGGAGAGCAGGGGAACAGACAGTACCTGTAAGGCTTCAGGATTTCTCTGAGATGGAATAGCCCCTGATCAGATGAATACTGTTCTTTGGAAGGCCCCTTGCCTAATCTCCTGTGTTCCTCTAGTGATTCGGGTCCTCTCCGCATTGCAAAGACGCCATCACCACCTGAGGAGCCTTCACCACTCCCGAGCCCAACAGCAAGTCCAAATCATACATTAGCACCTGCATCTCCCGCACCAGCACGGCCTCGGTCGCCTTCACAGGTAGGAAGAGGTCAAATATATTCGGGGATGGAGCTCATGATAAGGTGAAGGTGGCCCCATCTACGATAATCCCACGGTGCTAGGGCTTTAAGAGAAATTTCCAGTTAGGGAGACTGAGATGTGAGGCTTTAGGCATTGTGATTGTCGTGAAGGTATCCACCTGCTCTTCTTATTTGACTTGATATGTCCTCACATGCCCTATATTCAAGTCTTTTGGGATTTCTTACCATGTTCTCTGCATGCTCGGGCTAGCGTGCTCTCTCTTCTCCCATCTCTTGTTACAAAACTATTTTCTTTCAATACTCCATTTAAATCCTTCCTCTGCATGAAACCTTCCCTCTCCTAATGATTTAGAGTTAGCAAGTTCTGGCAAGAAAAGCAGTTATGTTTATATGTCATTTCACATTTTTGGTACCTCTGGACATTTTTGGTGCACACATTTGCACACGAGTAGCCACTTGCTAAAACTGTATTGAACAAGTAATTGAAAAGAAACAGTAAGGGCTGGGCAATGGTAACTGTAGAGCAGAACTGCCACCTTTATTCTCCCTATGTTGGGTGAAAATGAGAATTTCTGTGGAAAAACTTAAAGTCTCTAGTCCAGTTCAAGCTTTCTTGTACAGACGCTGCTTGCATTACAAAGGGGTTGTGTCCTGATAAACCCATCATAAGTAGAAAATATTGCAAGACAAAATGCATTAAATACACCTAACCTATTGAGCATCATGGCTTAGCCCAGCCTACCTCAAACGTGCCAAGAACACTTAACGTTAGTCTACAGTTAGACAAAGTTATCTAACACAAAGCCTATTTTATAACCGTGCTGAATACCTTGTGTAATTTACTGATTATAGTACACTGTAGGACATAATGGCAATCATTTACCCTCGTGATCACAGGGCTAACAGAAGTGTGGTTCACTGCCACTGCCCAGCCTCATGAGAGAGTATCTTCACACTTTCTGCTGAATGCCTATTGCTTTCACACTTTCCTGAAATCCAAAAAAAATCATAGATTGAACCATTGTAAGTCGAGGACCATCTATATGTAGTTGAACTAAGGAAGGTCTTGGGAAGATACATGTATTAAACAGACCTTTAAAGTTTTCTACTTTTCGAAATCCGTGAATGGAAAGTGAAATGTAAGCTGCCTACCGCTGGTCTCACCAATTCAAATGAAAAGCTGCTTTAGTTTTGAAATTTTAATTTATTTCTGAAATGAGAAATTATTTTCAGTTTAGTTCAGAAGAGGGTATTGTCCTAGTTTAACCTTAAAAGTATATGTACCTGGCCCTGCAGTTCTGTGTATTGTACTTGAGTTGAGATGAATGGACTCTTATAGCCTCAGTTTTGTTTTTCCCCTGAACCATGGCTTATCAGGGCTCAGAGAGCCTCCCAAGTAGACAGCATTCTTTACCTGAATCAGATAGGCTTGCTGCTATATGCAGATATAAGTTTCAATCAGAGCTCAATCTGTCCACGTGGCTCTGTTCATGTAACCTGCCTTCATGTCTGACACATCGTCTTTGGCTGGATTAATGTTTGTATTTAATGCTTCCTAGACTAGGAAAGGGCCTCCTGTCCCACCTCTACCTAAAGTCACCCCGACAAAGGAACTGCGGCAGGAGAACATCATCAGTTTCTTTGAGGACAACTTTGTTCCAGAAATCAGTGTGACGACACCTTCCCAGGTAAGTGCCTGGTTCAGGGCTGGGATATCCATGAAAGTCCCATGGTGGAAGGACTCTCAGGGGCTAGCCCTAAAGAAAGTGGCACCTGCCAGAACCAACAATATAATTTTAATTGTCATTCAGGATTGTTTTCATTACTTGATTAGTCTGAAGCATTCTAAATGGGAGATGTACAGTATTTGAAAATTATCTTTTTTTAAATTAAGGGTAGTATATACTTACAGAAAATTGAAAAAATATGAAAATTATAAAATGAAGAATTTATTTTATTTTAAAAAATTTTTGTATTGATACCAAATATTTTACTTATTTATGGGACACATGTATTTGTTACATGCATAGGATGTGGAATGATCAAGTTAGTGTATTTGGGGTATCCATCACCTTGAGTATTTATCATTTCTATGCATTAGTAACATTTCAAGTCATCTCTTCTAGCTACTTTGAAATACATAGTACATTGTTGCTGACTATAGTCACCCTAATCTGCTATTGAATATTGGGTCTTATTTGTTCAATCTAACTGTACGTTTGCATCCACTAATCAACCTCTCTTTTTCTCCTCCTTCCACCCACACATCCTTCTCAGCCTCTGGTATCTATTATTCTATCCTCTATCTCCGTGAGATCGATTGTTCCTAAGCTCCCATATATTAGTATATGTGGCAGCTGTCTTTTCTGTGCCTGTCTTATTTCACTTAACATAATGACCTCTAGTTCCATCCATATTATTGCAAACAATATTATTTCATTCTTTTTGGGTTCAATAGTATTCCATTGTGTTTATATACCACACTTTCTATATCCATTTGTCCATCAGTGGATGCTTAGGTTGATTCTCTATCTTTACTGTTATCAATAGTGCTGTGATAACCATGCAAGTGCAGGTATTCCTTTCATATACACATTTCTTTTCTTTGGGATAAATACCCAATAATGGGATTGATGGATCTTATGGTAGCTCTATTTTTAGTTTTTTTGAGGAATCTCCCTACTGTTTTCTGTAGTAGTTGTACCAATTCTATTCCCACCAACATTGTATAAGAGTTCCTTTTTCTCCACATCCTTGCCAGCATCTGTTATGTTTTGTTCTTTTAGGAATAGCCATTCTAACTGAGGTACGATGACATCTCAATTTGGTTTTGATTTAGATTTCCTTGATAGTGATGTTAAGCATGTTTTTGTATACCTGTTGGCCATTTGTATGTTTTCTTTTGAGAAGTGTCTATTTGTGTCCTTAGCCCACTTTTTCATGGGATTATTTGTTTTTTTTAATTATTGAGTTGAGTTCCTTGTACCTTCAGAATATTATTCCCTTGTTGAATGAATAGTCTGTAAATATTTTCTCCCATTCAACAGGTTGTCTCTTCACCCTATTTATTGTTTCCTTTGTGTGAAGATGCCATTTAGTTTAATATAACCTCTTTTTTCTATTATTATTATAGTTATCTGTGCTTTTGAGGTCTTACCCATGCAGTCTTCCTTAAACTTATGTCTTGAGGTGTTTCCCTATGTCCTTTTCTAGTTGTTTTATAGTTTTGGGTCTTATATTTAAGCCTTTAATTCATCTTGAGTTGATTTTTATATATCAGGAGAGACAGGGATCCAGTTTCATTTTTCTGCATATGGATATCCAATTTTTCCAGCACTGTTTATTGAAGAAGGTGTCCTTTCCCCAGTATATGTTCTTGATACCTTTATTGAAAATCAGTTGGCTGTCAAAATGTGAATTTATTAGTGGACTCTGTATTTTGTTCCATTGGTCTACGTGTCTATTTTTATACTGATGTTATGCTGTTTGGGTTACTGTAGACTTGTAATATATTTAGAAGTCAGGTAATGTGACGCCTCCAGCTTTGTTCTTTTAGCTCAGAATTGCTTTGGCTATTTTGGCTCTTTTTTTGGTTTCATACAAATTTTATGATTTTTTTTCTAATTCTGCTGAAAATGTTGTTGGTATTTTGGTAGGCATTGCATTGTACCTGTAGATTGCTTTGGGCATTATCATTATTTTTACAATATTAATTTTTCTGATCCTTGTCCTTTTGATTTTCTTTCATCAGTATTTTGTAGTTTTTCTTACACAGACCTTTCACTTCCTTGGCTAAATTTGTTCCTAGGTATTTTATTTTGTTGTAGCTCTTGTAAATGATCTTGCCATATTGATTTCTTTCTCTTCTAGCTCTTTATTGGTGTACAGAAATGCTACCAATTTTTGTATGTTGATTTTTTTTATATCCTGCAACTTTACTGAACTTATTTATCAAATTCAGGAGGTTTTTTTGGTGGATTCTTTTGTTTTTCCTAGCTATAAGGTCATACTGTCAGCAAAGAGGAATAGTTTGGCTTCTTCTTATCCAATTTGAATGCCTTTTATTTCTTTATCTTGCCTGATTGCTCTGGCTAGGACTTTCAGTGCTGTATTGAATGGGAGAGGTGAAAGTGGGCATCCTTATCTTGTTCATAGAAGAAATGGCTTTCAGCTTTTCCCCCATTCACTATGATGCTACCTGTGCTTTTGTCGTATATGGCCTTTGTTATTTTGAGGTCAGTTCTTTTTATTTCCTAGTTGATTGAGAGTTTTCATTATGAAGCAGTGTTGAATATTATCAAAAACTTTTTCTCCATCTATTGAGATAATCATGTAGATTTGTGCTTAATTCTCTTGATGTGATGTATTAGGTTTATTGTTTTGCATAAGTTGAACTATCCTAATATCCCTGGTATAAATCCCACTTGGTCATGGTATGTCATCTGTTTGATGTGCTGTTGGATTTCGTTTGCTAGTATTTTGTTAAGGATTTTTGCATTTATGTTTATCATGAATATTTGCCTATAGTTTTCTTTTTGTTGTTGTGCTTCTGTTTGGTTTTGGTATTAAGATAGTGCTGGCCTTGTAGAATGAGTTAGGGAGAGTTCTTTCCTCTTCAGTTTTTTGGAATAGTTTTAGGAGGATTGATATTGATAGAGTTGGGCTGTGAATTCAACTAGTTCTAGGCTTCTGTTTGTTGGGAGACTTCTTTATTTTTATTTTATTATAGATTCAGGAGATACATGTGGAGTTTTGTAACATGGAGACATTGTGTGATGCTGAGGTTTGAGCTTCTAATGATCTCAACACCCAGATAGTGAACATAGTCCCCAGTAGGTAGTATTTTACCTTTGCCCACCTCCCTCCATCCCTCCGCAATCCTTTTGTGAGACCAAACACACAAACAAGGAAGAGAAATGACTCAAGTGGTACTACTGCCGTATACTACCAAACCCTGGTGACATGTATGTCATTGTATGACATATAGATGTGACATGTATATGCACAAACACAAAATGACCAGAAAGCGATTAACATTATGACAGTCACAAAACCTCACATATTAGTAATAGCCTTGAGAGAAAACAGATTAAATTAAAAGATAAACTGACTAAATAAATAGATGCTTTTCTCTTGCCATTCTTAGTATTCTCTCTTTTATTTTTGCCTTAGTACATAGTTTGACTGTAATATAGCATTGAGAAGACCTTTTTGCATTATATCTGTTTAAAGATATTTGGGCTTCCTATATGTGGATGGCTAGGTCTCTTGCTAGACTTGGGATGTTTTCAATCTAATACTTCATTAAATAGGTTTTCTGGCCCATTTGTTCTCTCTTGGCCCTCAAGTACACCAATAATTCAAATATTTCATTGTATTATATTGTCCCAAATGTCAGGAAGGCTTTGTCCATTCTTTTTTATTGATTTTTGTCTCACTGGAGTATTTCAAAGACCTGTCTTCACGTTCTGAGGTGCTTTCTTCTGTTTTATCTAGTCTCTGGTTGAAGCTTTCAAATGTATTTTGTATTTCAGTCAATAAATTCTTCAGTTCCAGAATTTCTATTTGTTTCTTTTAAAAAATATCTCTTTGGTAAATTTTTCATTCATATGCTAAAATGTTTTTCTGATTTCTTTGTTTTTCAAAATTTTCTTGTATCTCACTGAGCTTCTTTAAAAGCAGTATTTTGAATTCTTTGTCTTGTTTCTTTGGAAGTGTCATATTTCCTTGCCGTTTTATGTTTCTGTTTCATTGTGTTGATATCTGTGCATCTGGTATAACTTCCAATTTTCAATTTCCAATCTGGTTGCTTCTTCCAATTCTTTGAAATTGGTTTTCGTAGGGGAGGGCTTTTCTCTGAAGATGTATATATGTTGTTGGTTGGGTCGGATATTTTGGCTTTGATTTTGGCCACATGTAGTAGTGTGATCTTTGTGTGATTTATTTGGCTATAAATAGTGTCAGTTGTACTTGTAATTTCCTCAATGACTTAGGGTGCATTTGCTAGCGGGGGGCCAGAGTAAAGTTTTGCTGAGGACAAGGATGCCAGGTTGACCAGTCTTTGGGCCCCTGTGGTGGCAGTGGTAGGCTGAGCATGCTTGTGCTTGGCCCCAGTGTGGGTTACATTAGCTCCAGCGTTAGTGAGTCCAGACAGGCTGATTCTTGGGCTCCAGGTGGCTTGCTCAGATATTGGTAGTGGCAGCAGTGGGATGAGTGTGTGGTCGGGTTCTCAAATCTCTGGGCAGCTAATGTGATGTGGGTGATGACAGTAGTGGTGGTGGAATAACCCGCGGGAACCCAAGTGGTCACTCTGGTGTTGGTGGTAGCTGTGACAGGTTGGGTGTGCCAGTCCCTTGGCCTGCTGGTGGTGCATTCTGATGGGTGCCACCTGTGGTAGCTTTGGCAGGTTGGGCTGGCCCAATCTCAGACCCAGGAGGAATATTCAGGTGCCAACAGTGGTAGACTGGGCTGGGAGATTTCTGGGACCCTGAACAGGATGCTGAAGTACTGGGGTGACAAGATTGATTCAGTAGCTTGTCCTACGGTCAAGCTGCGTTGACACTGGTTGTGACAGGCTAGGTAGGATGGTTTCCAGCCTGCTGACAAAATGTTCAGGTGTAGGAGGCACCACACTGCCCTGTGGATCTGCTAATAGGGAGGTCAAAGCCTCTCATGGTGGGATCAGTGT